GCATTCCATGTAAACTCTACGCCGAAGATACGGCAATATTTAACTATAGATAGTATAGTAAATATTTGCCGAACTGGCGAACTCATATATTATAAAATATGTGGGACATATATTTGCACAAATTTGGTATTTAAATATATAATATGTGGTATTTGACTACTTACCAGATGAGGATAAGATTCCATGTTGATAAATAACTTCGGAATAAAAAAAAGACAGCCAATTCAAGATAAATTGATAAAAATATCAAGATATTTTTGAAAGAATATAAAACACGATTTATACACGAGGCCTGACGAGGCTAAAGTATGCCCGTTCGCAGGTTAGATCAGCGGGCACGATGTAAACAATTGATGTAAACGAATCGCTGATTGGCTTAAATTGGCATAAATTGCCTGAATTATATAAGCCCGTCGCTGAATGGCTAGGGATACGGTACGGTACGGTCACGGCACGTTTGCGATAGCATATATATCTGCTTCGCAGATACAAAAATAGGTACGCGACCGCGTACATGTATCTGCGAAAAAACTTGATTCACATTTTGTATTTTCTTGAAAGAAACTGAATAATGAAGATGACATGGGACAATTGAAATATTTCATCACTTATTATAATGGCAGATAAGATTTAAAACAGGGCTGTACACAGCGGGGAGTGCAGCAGGGCAAGTACAACCACAACCACCCCCCCCCCACCCCCCCACCGAGAAAATTTAACTAACTTTATAATGTGATTATGATTGTAACAGATAATTATGCAGTCAGGAAATAAAAATTTCATGCAAACAATATTCAAAGTGTCTATACAGCCAGCTATTTAGTAAACTGTCACCTGTCAATTCAATCCATACTCATCAAATTTTCAAAACTTTATTGTAATCATATGAAGCAAAAGTTATGTCACTTGTTGTTTACACTTGCCAATGTTAACTGTTGAGTAACATACACAAAATATTTGGTGAACATGTCGAAGACCACTGAATAATTGAGAATGTTTTGAAGGTCATGAGTGAAGTGTATAATTAAATTCCAGTTCTGTGCACAGTTAATGATATACCACACTGTTCGGTTTAACACGTACAGCACATTCACACAAAAACAATCGTGTTGTGGGAGATTATCGGTTTGAGTAGAAGGTATCACAAGTTTAGTTTTGTACATTGTGTGCCATTGATCAAATCCACCATATAATATATATGATTATTCATTGTAGCTGTTAAGTTTTTTTCCATAACAATGAATTTAGGTAAGATTGTCTTGCAAGTTGGTTGTTCTGACAAAATTATCCAGCCAATATCCAGCACATTCATTCTTCATTCTTGTATTAATCTCTAAAGAAAAATATTTATGTTAGAAAGCAAAATGACAATGTAATGAGGCTCGGGAGGGTGAGGATTCTTTTATTTGAAAATGTTTGTAAAAATTTTGTTTAATTAACTCTAATGTGTAAAACCAAAATGCATAAGTATTTTAACTGATAACATCTTCAACCTTTGCTCTAACACTACATTTGATGACAGCTTTATAGTTGGACTGTTGTTTTGAACAGAGTTATGGAGTAGTCAATATACAGAAATACAGGACCAGGATTTAATTCAATATCTCCTGAGAATGTTTTCACTGTTTAAAATATTACAGAAGTCACAGAAGGATTGTTTTTAATACTGTATAAATCTTTTTGTGAACTATGTTGATAAATGGCTTAAAATATCCTCGAAAATATCCAATATTTTATACAGTGTAATATATTAATAAAAAATTCCAGAGTGCATTCCATGTAAACTCTACGCCGAAGATACGGCAATATTTAACTATAGATAGTATAGTAAATATTTGCCGAACTGGCGAACTCATATATTGTAAAATATGTGGGACATATATTTGCACAAATTTGGTATTTAAATATATAATATGTGGTATTTGACTACTTACCAGATGAGGATAAGATTCCATGTTGATAAATAACTTCGGAATAAAAAAAAGACAGCCAATTCAAGATAAATTGATAAAAATATCAAGATATTCTTGAAAGAATATAAAACACGATTTATACACGAGGCCTGACGAGGCTAAAGTATGCCCGTTCGCAGGTTAGATCAGCGGGCACGATGTAAACAATTGATGTAAACGAATCGCTGATTGGCTTAAATTGGCATAAATTGCCTGAATTATATAAGCCCGTCGCTGAATGGCTAGGGATACGGTACGGTACGGTACGGTCACGGCACGTTTGCGATAGCATATATATCTGCTTCGCAGATACAAAAACTATTACGAACAATATGTAGTTTAAACTGCTTCGTCGTAAGCATATCATGATGCTCATCAATGAAATGTATTTTATGGCGTTCTAAAGCGGTACAACACGGAATTTCTGGGAAAATGAACCTCAGTGCTCTCGTTTGGATACGTTCTATATATAGATCTTATAATAGCGTGCTGAAACACGGGACAGGCATAATCTTCTTATGTACGTATACAATAAGATTGAGCAATATCAGCCTGTGACGCCCCGGCACGTTTAAGCTGTACAAAAGTATACTAGGTTTTCTATATATGATTATTCCAAGTGAGAACTGGTGTAAATCTGAGAGAGTACGACGGACCGGCATTATATCTGTCTACGCATGTATACTTAATAAAATTTCCTCAGTAATTCTTTTATCTAAATCTATTCGGAAAAAAATATAATTGTAGTTTACTGCATTGCTTCACCGCAATATTGAAAATAAGAGGAAAAATTGCCTTAGTTACCTATTAATTAACTCTGACAAAATTCTCAAAAAAGCCACAAAATGTCTGGACTTTCGAAAGTCCAACCAAGGTCGCGTGCTTAATGACTGCCAACTCTCATGACCTCTCATCCTCGTTTGATCAGGGCTTTAGGGATATTGTTAGACAAAGAGATTCAGTGAAGTGCAGTCACGTAGCAACAAGCATGAACATAACAACTTCACTTCCTTAATTATAATTGCATAAAGAAGAATGAGATAGATTTCCAACAAAAAGAGGGTTTTAATGAATGGATAAAATGAAAACTGCATGATAGGGCTCCGATTCGCACGTTGTAAGTCAATAACTAAGATTATTGGTTCAACTAATTTGGTAAAGTTAGTGGCCATGGGTTGGGTGAATGAGTTTCAGACAAAATTTTGGATGCAGTAATGTGACTGGAATGGACCCAACTCGATAAAGGCTGCATCGAACTTAACTGTGATTCCTAATTACCCTCATTGTTTTTGAATTTTTGATTGGAATACTATGTCATGCACACAATTCGGGCGCAAACATTTCTTGGATTAGCTTCATTTCCGCTTTTTCATTCAATCACATGAACCTACATAGCCTGACTTTATCGACTGACTTTATCTTTGGTTTCTTTTGAATTTTATGCGGTCTTGCGTAATGCTTGAAGTTTTTGTCTGTTTCCAAAAGAATGAAGTCGAGGTTATACGTGTATAATGCTATAATTCTATACTTATTTTTTAACACAATCATCATAAAACATAAAAACATTTTGAAAATGTCCTGTACCAATATAGCATGCAATATTAAATTCAACAGAGTGAAAATATAAACAAAATAACAAAATATTTAAGAACTAAAGGGTAATAGGCAAACATTGTTGGCGTTTTTGTCAAGTAGGCTCACTCTTCAGTACTTTCGACCCAATAGGTCGAATTCCTGAATAAATTACAAAATCCAATACTACAGTACAATCTTGGACATAACACTTGAGATCATTCCTGGTGTTATTGCAAAGTCATGTACATTGACAAAACAAACTTGGAGCCCCTCTCTTCCGCGTGGTCACTGTTGTGAACAGTGCCGAAACAACTAATTTTGCATGGTAACTAATTACTGTAATCGAACACAATATTCCGTTGGGAGAGTGGGGGCCAAAAAGTGCAACACGACTCTATATGGATCGGAATTTATCATAATGCCGGTGTCACAGCGGATTTGGACCCCCCAGTAGATTTGGACCCCCCGGTCCAAATCTCCTAGTAGATATGGACCCCCCGGTCCAAATCTCCTAGCAGATATGGACCCCCTTTAGCGGATATGGACCCCCTTTTTTAAACAGTTTTCTACACTAAGAACAACCCCAATAACGGTGAATATGTTAAATACAATTAGTTTTCCGATACCCGTAGCTACTTATCAACCACACATAGTCATTTATTGTGAATAGAAAACTTTTTATTGCCAGTGAGATCCAAATTCAAAAATATTAAACTACAAGTAAACTAGAAAGGTCCAAATGCATGGAAAGTGTGTATACAACTATAAAAGGATAAATAAACACACTAAAAACTCATGTATATATACGCAATATGACGTTTATATGAGCAAAATAGCTAAGAAGGCTTCCATTTAGATGAGTCACCATCACTTATTGTTTAAAAATTTTCATGGAATCGCGTTGCTCTAATATTCTATTTCTATAGCTTTTCTTAAAACCATTAGTGGATAGTCGCAGGCTTCCATTCAGATGAGTCGCCATCACTTATTGTTTAAAAACATTCATGAAAATCGTGTTTCGTGTCGATCCAAATGCTGTATGCAATTTCTACGATTGTACTCTATTTTTCTATTTTACGTTTTGTGGCCTTTATCACAAATATTTAAAGTGACTAAATACTTCAGATTGATCGCTATTATGAATTTGGTTTATATTATTGTGTTCACATTACAAATATTTAACTTTTGAAGGGGGTCCAAATCCGCCAACGGGGGTCCATATTTACTAGTAGATTTGGACCCCCGGGGGTCCATATCCACTAGTAGATTTGGACCCGGGGGTCCAAATCTACTAGTGGATATGGACCGGGGGTCCAAATCTACGGGGGTCCAAATCAACTGGGACACCGGATATGCGAATTTGTAGAGGGAATGTCCAATAATTTGTAGGAAAAATGCTCTGTTTATAATTAGTAGTTAAAAATTGTACATTGTCTATACACAATAAAATTTACACAATACAATTATACAAACCTGCAGTGTCCCATATTTGAGCTCGGACAATTCTGCCATCAATTTCAATATCTTCATGAGCAAGTTCTACTCCTATTGTTGGCTTTGAACTTAGTTGAAAATCATTCTTTGTGTATCTAGTTAAGAGCTGGGACTTGCCTGTGGAATAAACGAAGAGAACGCATAAATAACTTGACACTCTTTTGTAGTCGAAATACTGACATGCATTTCTCTTTGTGAATGACAGTGCATGTGGCGATATTATACTCAAGTCTCAGATGTAGAGGTTTTTGAACTAATTGGAAATTTTTTAACTTCAATCTAGACAAGAGACTTTCTCGTTTACTGTTCAGTGAACCACAGTATGCATTCACATGTACATTAATAATTGCAGAAATGACTTTATACTGTTCAAAAAACTAAAAGATAACTTTTATTATCCCCTGTCAGTAGCCTACATAGCATTTAGAAATGCTATGTACTGACAGGGGATAATAAAAGTTATCTTTTAGTTAGTTACTGTAATTAAGACTTAAAAGTCTTATAGTTATACAGGTAAGGCCTTTGAACTTAGTTAAAGTATTTAGTAAATAGTGTGACATTTTTATACATAATAAAGCATAATTATAAAGCATACAGTTGACATAGCTCAAAGTTTATTCTGTTAATTACAGTGAAAATATTATGTTTGTGTCTGAATGGAAGGAATTAAAATGCGAGGAAGCAAGGTGAACTGGAGATCCTAGCTCCTCAGTCCTGCGTGCGTCCTAAATTCTTTGCTCGAGAAGTTGAAGTGTTTTTAATCTATTCAGGTAGTTCAGACACAAACCGCGATAGCTTATCGCACAATACTATACACACTGTCATTAATTGCATGGATCTCACTTTAAAAATTTTTAGGCTAAAGGGGACGAATAGAACACGATAGTCTATACAGTTAGGGCCCACAGTAATTGGTGTAAACTGTTGTGGTGTCCCCGCCTCTTTTTATGTCTCACTATATGAATTGTTGTGCTTGTATTGTGTACGTTTTTTGTCAAGGCGAAGCTAAATAAATAAATAAATAGATAGTCCGATAGACTAGATGATTATACTTTTCTGTCCATGTCAATGGCATGCATGTATGCTGCCATTCACCGCACTTGCGAGTAGTTGCATGAAGTAGTGTTTATGTGCTAATTCATGAAGGGTCTATTGGTCTAAACGCTTACAAATCTTGCCTCATGGCGATCTTGCAAGTTCGTTATAATCATGCAGAGTTGAATGAAGATGTCATATAAATATAACGACGGCGATACGGGCATTTGTTAGTGACTTTGACATGCATCTTTAAGTTTTCAGATCATAAAATAAAATAAAATAAAGATACAGTAAGGTTATGCAGACAATTGCAATCATCTTAATTCTCGCTGATAGAAGATGGACCGTAATAGTTTAGAAATCGTACATATAAGCTAGTATAAGCCTAATATTAAAGCAATTACACTGCATTTATATTTTAGAACATGCTGACTAGCACATGCATACATGACCTCATTGACAATAATAGATTGCTTTGCCTTTGTCAGTTTATTTGTGAATGTTTAACGTTAGGATTAATACCAGTTTATCCATGAAGCGTTGTCATTCAATTTATACTTGGACTATCGTGTAATATAGTCTAGCATATATACAAATATCATAAAGGCCTGAAGAAATTATAGACATAACTTATACGAACTCAAATTCAAAACATTTTTGAATGATAAAAGAGAATGTTATGACTTATATTATACTCAATCTTGTCCTCAGATTGGGAAGGCTATTAAATTTGTCAAGAATTATGGCAAATAAAGTTGGTTGTAGCAAAATAAACATGAATATAGTCAATATACAAAAGCTTAAGCCTTTTGTACCCACCTACTCCGCTGTCTCCAATCAGAACGACTTTAAATAAGTACGTATATGTTTCTTCCTCAGCTTTGGACATAATGATACAGTGAACACCTCTAACTTCGAGCTGATAAGCTCTTTAATTTTTTCACGTTACTCTGAGCCAAGTATTATATCTCGAAACGAATGTACCGACAAATAGTTTAATATATTGTGTGTTTCTTCTCGACTAATAAACGCCTGTCTGTCGTTCGCTTGAATACATAGACGTAACAGACGTAGCAACAATTTGAATATATCTCATTTGAATATTCAAATTAGAAATAGAAAAACACTCATCAGGGATGATTTGTATTGACTATTCGGAAGCGATTAAGCTGTGAAATTAAAATGCAAGATGAAAATTCAGAAAAGAACAGATCGAGACTAAATTTGAATAATATTTAAGAGGAAGAAGGGAATTTTCTAAGATAAAATATGGTCCAAATACAATGAAAATACAATCGCAAGATACATATCGAAGTTTTAAGATCGCAGCCAGAGATTTTCAATAATTCTGAATCTGGTTGTTAAGATGGCCGCTGATATTCATACTCGAAGCTTCAACAAGAGCAGTAGGTCGTAGAAATACGGCTTCAACAAGTAGTTGTTCATACCCAATTGGACTGATAACTTGCATGCATGGCTTCCTATATATTGTTCCAACTAAATATTGTAACGACGAGCTATACAGGGTGTCCAAACTATTGAAATCACCAATGACAATTTAATTGTTAGAATTTGAATGCCTTAAGCCCGCCGCACACGAGCGCACTTGTCGCGCGTACTTGTTATTCGTGACAAGTTGGATCGACAAAATTTCCTCGTGTGCCGGCAACATTTACGGCATTTTCGTCATTCGTGACATGTAAACCAAATATCAAACATGTTTAATATTTTTCGTCATTCGCGACAAAAAAATTCTCGTGCGCGGCGAGCAAACGACAAGCGCGCCTGAATAGGAAAATTTGCGCATGCGTGTAACTTGCAGAATTAAAAACAACATGGCGGATCAAAATCACGAGCTCGTGTCTTGTTTTTAATTTTGCTCGCCGCACACGAGAATTTTTTTGTCACGAATGACGAAAAAATATCAAACATGTTTGATATTTGGTTTACATGTCACAAATGACGAAAATGCCGTAAATATTGCCCGAGACTGTCGGCCGTCATGGCGGAAGGACGTGCTCTTAATAGGCTCCATCAAAATGTTGCTAATACAAATGAAAATAGTTGTCTGAATTCCTTTCTTACTAGTGCTAGTTGCACTAAACTGCCTGGCATGTCTTATGATGGAGTACGTTTAAAGTGGACCGGTGATTTAACAAATTTAAAACGAATTGTACGAGAAGTGTGGGCCAGTCGAAGAAGTTTTCTAGCACAAACTCTGACTTAGTATAGTCACATGGCATAAAGGTAAAGCAAAATCTGTGCTTTTTAAAGGTAGAGACGGTGTTTTGGTGCGAGATCAATGTATATTGCTTTGCGAATAAGCAACTCAGTCCATGCTAAAGCCACATTTGCCAGACTCCAATGAAACTAAACTCACGCAGCAAAATATTACAAGTGCGTGTGATTTTCCTAACCTATCGGACAGAAATACGAATGCCGCCATCGATTCCCCTTCCCCGGTTGAAAGTATACAAGGCAGAACTATCCATCATTCAGCTCCCGCTTTTGTCAATAATCATTGCCAGACTGAGCATATGGAGCTGAATAATAATTGTGGTTGCGGCTGCGGAATTCTGGTTGCTGACTGGTTTGAAGGGATAAAACTTGATTTAGTTGTTTTACAAAATAAATTTGAGAATGAATTTGCGACCGAACGTACCAATGTAAGCCAACTTAAGCGAGAACTTGCTCATGAAAAAGATAAAAACGGTCGTCTTGAGTCGGACTTGAGAGAAAGAAATGCCGAAGTCGATGAATTGAATGAAACAATAGCCTTTATACTTAACGACAGAATCAAAGCTAGTGAAGCGATTATTGATCAACTGCATGAGACCTTCTAATGCAAGCATAAATTTGGAAGAAACATGTACTTTTGATTCTGCTCAATCAAAAGATGAGCTTGTCAGAAAATATCCAGTTTGTGTCGACATTAGTACGCAAACCAAGAATGACGATCAAAAATTATCTAATAATAATGCTGGTCAGTTTTGCATGAGTGAAAATGCGTATGTTAATCTCCTTAATAAGGTTGCCGAAGTGCGCAACGATACGGCTCATTCCATTAGTCAAACTCGCATAAATAAAAACGTTAATGCGAATTCCTCTAAGCATTTGGTCGCATGTCCATTCCTATTAAAGAAAGGACATTGTTTAAAGGGATCAAGATGTGATTTTTCTCACAATATTAGCCAAAGTCGCATAAGTAAAAAGGCAAGCGTGATTCCCCCTAAAGAAGTCCTTGAAGTTAGCAACGATGTGGTTTATCCTACTACCCTTAATGACAGTAGTGTTAGTACTAATTCTAGTGCTCCTAATGAAATGTATGCTATACCAGTAAGAATCACCACTCGGAGACGCGGCAAACATAACCCGCAAAAATTCAGAAGGAGAAATAGTGAGCATTTTTTATGGGACTCAGGGAATCCCAATCGCCCTCCAGAATCAAAGCCAGAATCACAACTCGAAAATCACAACTCCTGGAAGGCTTACCTACAATCGGTCAACCAAACTTTGGACCAACTTGGAACCCAAGTATAGGTGAAAACCTACGTACTAACGATGACATATATTCACTAATTTATCTTATAATCCACCGCCACGCAATTCGAATAATTTGATAACTATTCATGTTTGTAAACCAGGACCACCAGAGAGTCGCTCTTTTCCTACGTGTATTGTAATTAATGCGAGATCCTTAGCTAAACCTGACGCTTGCTCGGCATTGTACTTAGAATTGAATAGTCACAATGTAGATCTGGGTATTGTGACAGAAACTTGGATAAAATTTACCATTCCCAGTCAAGTGGTATGCCCTGACGGTTTCACTGTGATACGGAAAGACAGACCATATGGTAGACAAGGTGGTGGTGTAGCAGTCTTTTGTAGGCACGATTGGAAACTCAAAATTTTGGAAGAATTTTCGAATCCTTATGAATGACTATGGACTAAAATAACAACCAATAACTCGATATTTTACTTATCAACAATATATCATCCTCCATCTCCTGAATACCATCCTGATGACCTCCTTGATTTCCTAATGGACTCATGTGAGAGATTATTATCATTAGCGCCCAACGCGAAACTAATCATAGCTGGTGACATTAACCAATTGGCGATAAAGACATTGCTAAATTACCATTCGTTAGTAGAGATTGTGAATCTTCCGACTCGTGGCCAAAATATCCTTAATGTGTTTGTAACCAATGTTCCCAACTTCTGGAGTAAAGCTAAAACGATAAAAAGCCTTGTACGATCTGACCATCTGGCTGTTTTACTTAAACCTGTGGTTAAGGCAAAAGCCATAAGAAAAACAGTAGAGTTTCGCGACTTAAGAGAGCACAATAAGTTAAAAATGTTGCGGAAAATGGAGGACTTTCAATGGGACACATGCAATCTCCAGTGGTACTTCTTGTCCAAACAAAATGATCAACAACTTTTATAACAAAATCTGGCCAATATACGAAGAATGTTTCCCAATTATTAAAACACGAGTATCTAGTAGAGAACCTCATTTTCTTTCTCCAATAGTTAAGCATCTCTTAAAGCTGAGGCCAAATAGTTAACAAAATAACTGGTCGTGGTGATAGTGAAGTGCCATTATTGATCCAAAGGTAATGAATGAGCATTTTCAAACTATTAATACAGATCCTGACTATGTTACCCCTCAACCTCTCCCTATTCCCCGTGGCACAAGAGTACCTGAATTATCCGTCCATACTGTTTGTAAACTACTATTAAATAGTCCAGGTGATGGAAAATGCCATCCATAAAGATCAGTTTGCATATAAAAGAGGTTATAGCTCTACAATGGCCCTAATAAAAGCGCAACATACCTGGATGGAATGGTTGGATGGTAATGCTAGTATGGTGCGCGTCTTCTCTTTTGATTTCAGCAAAGCTTTTGACACGGTACCGCACGAGATTTTATGCAATAAGCTGAAGAAGCTTCCTATTAGTCCCTATATTACCAATTGGATCATCAACCAATAGGTATCAACGAGTCGTTTTTGATGGCGTTAAAACGGAATATTTGCCTATAAATCGTGCAGTTCCTCAAGGAACAGTATTAGGTCCAATACTGTTTTCTATAATGATTAATGATATCCGTCCTGTTCAAGCCTCAAACTTAATTGTTAAATTTGCAGATGACATAAATCTAGGGATTAAGGTCACAGATGATAGCGACGCCTCTTATATGGAAACAAACAATATTATTAACTGGGCGGAAACAAATCGCATGAAACTTAACTATAAAAAGACGTGGGAGATGGTCATTCGCGGCAAGATAACCCGGCCACTTCCTGCGCCTCTGCCTATGATTGTTCGTAAAAGTTGGTTGAAGATACTAGGTGTAACGTTTCAAGAGAATCCTTCCATGTGGGACATGCATTTAGATGAATTAATTAATGAGTAAAGCCTGTAGCAGAATGTACATTATTCGGATTTGCAAATACTACGGGTTTTCTAGGAAAGAGCTGGATCTTCTGTTCCATAGTCTTATTTTATCAATATTAGTTTTTGGTATAGAGGTCTGGGGATGTGCGTCGTATTCTAAGTATCTTAGTCAAGTAGATCAACTTTTAAAACGTGCATATAAGTATGGATATCTTATGTATCAGGTATCGATTGTTGATATATTAAACAATAAAGACAGAGATTTATGGGAGAAAATAACTACGGATCCCAACCATGCCCTGCAAGTTTTGCTGCCTCCTAGTCGTCAATTAGAATTACGCAATCGCGGACATGAGTATGAACTACCGAGAGTTCGAACAGAAAGGTTTAAAAGAGTGTTCGTTAATAGATGTCTTTTTAACTTCACATGATATTTTTTAAATTAGAAATTAACTTCTTAGGAACTACATTAAACATTATAATAATGGTATTTTAGCTCTATTAATGAATAATATCAATACTAATTCAGAAATTAGTATAATAATTATTGATCAGTAAGTGCAAATTGTAAGCCCGCACGTTTGTTGTGAGGTGTTGCTTTGAATATTTTAATAAAGATTTTATACACACGAGGAAATTTTGTCGATCCAACTTGTCACGAATAACAAGTACGCGCGACAAGTGCGCTCGTGTGCGGCGGGCTTTAGCACTCTGTTGGTTCCCACGAGTGCATAAATGATTGACATAAGTAAATTTTATGCATAAAGAAACTATTTAAGAAGCTGCTTTAAATTCCCAAGAGCAGAAAATCGCGCACTTTACAAGGAGATTTTCTTAACTAAATTTAATACATGCACCTTGTCAATATTTTACTCATCATTACGTTCAGCTTTTTGGTAGGGCATTCAAATTTTAACAATAAGTGATTTCAATAGTTTTCGTTTCTTTGGGGACACCCTGTACAGGGTGTCCCCAAAAAAGTGACACTATAGAAATTAGCCTATTGTTATAATTTGAATGCCGGAGCACTATGCTGAACACAAGAGTGCGTAAACACAATTGAATTGAATTGTTAATTACCAGGCGCATGAAATCCTGTGCTTGGATAATTTCTGCAGTGTCACTTTTTTGGGGACACCCTGTATACTGTACAGGGTGTATAAATAAAAAGGAGACCTTTAGAAATCAACTATATTGTTAAAATTTGAATGCCTTTTCAATTGCACATATGCTGAACCGTAGTGCGTGAAATATTGATGGGTGCTTATATTAGAAAAAGGAGACCTTTAGAAATTGAAATAACGTTTAAACAAGAGATTGTCTGCTCCTGGGAACAATCTGCCATGCATACTGTATACGTACTACGTAGATCGCATGTTGCGCACTCGTGGGCTTAGCAAAGTGCTCCAGGATTCAAATTATATCAATGGTTGATTTCTAAAGGTCTCCTTTTTCTAATACAGGGTGTATCAATAAAAACGCAACCTCGGAATTTCCTACTAAGAAATCACTTTGCAATTCTTAAGCATAAAAGATTTTAGGCCCCTGGAAATTGAAATCGAATTGCTAATAGATCATATTACTGTTGTTGTGCATTAAATAAATGCATAAATTTTGCTTTATGCACTCGCGTGTGCAGTAATTTTGACAGTTATGCTATTTTAAATTCCCAGGCGCCTTAACTCTTTTGTCTTTAAAACAATGCCGATTTCTTGGGAAATTCCGAGGTTGCGCTTTTTTTGATACACCCTGTATATTATTATTATTATTATTATTATTAAATTGAAACCACATTGCAGCCAGAAGCTGAATTGCGTGGATTACATATTATCACATGCACTACATATAAATATATTATTAATACAATATTATAAAACCCACCCTCGATTAAAATTCGATTAAAATAAGCATAAAATCTATCCTACAAACTTCCTACACATAGCAGGGATGAAAGAGTTATAAAAGCGGTTCGTGCGTGTAACGTACATATTAAAATACCGATTCGTCCTGAAAGAATAATCAGTCTCGTTCTTCGGGGGCAGCAGATGATGAAGTTTATGCATTGGATCCTTGATGATACTCGTAAAGAGTTTGTCACACATGTCAATATCACGCACCACGGTTCAGCATATGTGCAATTGAAAAGGCATTCCAATTTTAACAATATGCTTGATTTCTAAAGGTCTCCTTTTTTTTATACACCCTGTAGAACGTTTGCACTCATTCCCCAGGGACCAACTCAACAAAAGCCATGGCGGACAAGTTGGTGTTCCAGAGAGTGAGTCTACTTGACTAATTAAAATTATTTTGAATTGGAACACCAACATGGCGGCTGTGACGTCATGTGCAAACGCTCTATAGTATATGTATGCATGCGCAGAACGAACGATTTTATCTTAAAAAATACGGTGAAAAAGCCCAGAGCCCAGGGAGTGCGCTAGGCCTGGGCAATACTACGATTGAATGGTGCATTGTTACTTGAATTTTCTTATACCAGAGAATAATACTTTTAACGTTTCTTAATAATTGATTTGCACCAAAAGCAACTAAAAACACGCTTCTCATTTACTTTACTGTTTTTAATACTAATTATATTCATTCTAATTACATTTATATCTACTCTACTCGTCCGTAAATTTGAACAACATGCTCGACAATAGGTTGGTTTCAAGCAAACTTACGAGACTAAGTCAAAGGTAGATGGGTGTCAAATAATGAGATTTTCTTGTTTAATGTGCACTGAATTACTAAAATACAGAGCCACGGGTGCCAAACAGTGCGGGGGCAGCAAGTTGCCTTTATTACAAAAACTGCGCTTTGAAAATCGTTCGTTATTCACATGAATTTAATTGAGAATGGTTTTAGGAAATTTAGCTCAAATTTGAATCTGAAATTCCTCTCAGAAACATTACCAAGGTTTCTTAATAATTGATAAACTGTCATGTTGTTTTACATTTTAGTCTTTACTGTCATGCAACGACATTTACCGACAGTCACCTTTGGTTCATTTTCTTGCATACTACTACTTCTTGCACATGTAAGATGTAATTATTTCTAGTTTTTAGGCTGTCACATTCATAGTTATTCCGCTTGCATTTTCACAGAAAAGGCAAAACATCGAAGTCGCTTTCATTCTGAGTTTTTGACAACATTCGGAATACTTGACACCATGCTTGCAAGGCAAATTTCAGACGTTTTTTCGCGGTGTTATGTTTTCGTGCTTGCGATGCACTGGTTTAAGCCACCAACGTGCTGTTTTGCGCATGCTCCACGGCACAGCACTTGTGTAGTAGTACTATGTCTGGTTAACTGCTGTGTTCCAGAATATTACAGAGTTAGTTATTTGTGGGCATCCAAAATCCAATCTGAGAGATAAATTTAATTTCGACACTAAAATCTGCTTCACCCAATCGACCATTGAAACCATGCGTCATTTATGTAAAGCATCAATACGCCAACAGGTTTCCAGTCTTAAACAGCCATGACATTTGGTTCTACCAGTTTCTAGCGATCTTACTATCAAAATTTATCTCGTTGATGCCTGTTAATGATTATTTCAAAAATTTGGAACACAACCATGGGCATAGGGGGCTTGAGGGGGGCTACAGCCCCCACAATCATTTTTAAGTCGGGTGGATTCTACTTAAAAATCGGGCAAATGATGAAAGGGAAACACGACGCATGTATTAATTAAAAAAAGGAAGAAATATATAACGTTGGGACAATGTCATAGCTGGTGTCCCGAAAATTTTTTGTTGAGTTTATCTCGATTGACTATATTTTGGGACTTGTATAGCTTAATTAATTGATTAATTACGAATTAATTACCATAAAATACTCTTCTCCTTTGCGACTTACTACTGTTGGTATATAAACGTACAAAATGTATTCATTGTCCAACATGACAAGATGCAGTTTTAAACCCTGCTAATACTTTGTATATAAAATAGGTATATGGTACATTGTTATTTTATCATAGTAGCGAAGTACGTGTTCTGTGTTAAAAATATGTCTCACTTAGGTTCGTTAGGTTGACTTTTGATAAGCCGCCCGATCACTGCTTGCCTGAAATCGTTTCGGTCCAACGCCTTGTTTAGCACTGATCTGTATGAATACACCTTTCCGAAATGTACTCAAACTGGCTATAGAGCCTCGTTATCCTCAATCTTGTTACAGGTGTTCACATTAACAAAATCATGCAGTTTGATTAGATAACATAAAAGACCTTTATTTATAATTGGTCATCAGTGACAAAACAAATGGCTCAAAAGTCGATATCTCAATCCGGAAAACGAGGCTCTATAGCGAAGGGTGAGTACTTTCCGGGACCAGAATTTTTGCTTAAGCCCAAAAGAAAGTCGAAACTAAAAATATGAAACTATAAATATATTCATGGTGCCTAACAGGTTTTTAAAACAGACACATTTATGCCAACAGAGATGGATGCATATCCGCGAATTGGTCTTTTGCCTGGTAGAGCTTATTCTTCACTCAGTTAACGTAGTGACGTTACTCCGTAACCCTAACCCGAATCTTTAGTGTTACGTCACTACATCAGCTGAGTTCACTGGTGCAGAATAGCTTTCCCCCCATTGCAGTACACAAGGCATGTCAGCAAATGCTCAATTCAGTTGTGTACATACAGATCAGTGTAAATCAGCGACTATCCCCGTCAGGTCAAATATCTTCCTTCATCCATCTCGTTTCCATGATTTTTTGCTTCGTCATTTTTCGTGTGTTGGGCCTTGTCTTGTGCACAATGCTTTCTTTAAGCGCCGCCTTTCGCTGACGTATACGGTAACCTAGCAACGCCAGCATGAGGGAGATTGTTAGGACAAATGCAGAAAAGAAAATGACAGGTGTTAATCGTGATCGCGAAGAGTGTTCTTGGGTTTTCATCGTTTTCTGGAAAAGCTTATTCGTTTGTTGATTACAAAGCTCACCAACACAGCAGCAAAGAACTGTCCCGAATGTCACCTATAGTAATAGGAATTACGTCTCAGAGTTAGTTTATTAGCTAAAGCCCTGAACAGAGACACAGCTAGTGCTTCCAACCGCTGTATGTTTGAATTAAACTCTGATCGCACTCTACCCCCTTTTGCAAGGTACGATAATTAAATATTTTTAGTACAACTCCAATGCTTAATGTTACGTAATTGAGCTGGTACAAACTTAAGATTCAAGGTATTAATAAACATCTACGTCTATTAACCGTGTTTAAATGAAGTACATAAAGTGCAGGTTTCTGAAAATTCATTCAGTGACCTGAAACTGCGAGTTAGAACAATAGCACAATTACAGTACGTACAGTATACATGCAATACAATCGTTCCTTAGTTCAATCAATCCAATCATATTACATTCCAAGACAAGTCAGACTTACACATAAATTATACTGACTTCATTATGGTTTGAATACCTTCGGCAGTAAAAGTCATATGGTACCAGGAAAAGTAAGTACGAAGAATTACGAAGAATTCCGCGTACCTATGCAGTACATGGCTGAAAAAGGAAGTACCGGACCAGACCATAATACTGTGCGCGATTTACCGCAGCTTTTTGTAATTAATAGGTTAAATGCATACTAAAATTCTTCCGGCATCCCTTACATAAGCACCCTAAATAAGTATTAAAATACGTTTACATAAAATCTATACAAAACAATAGATACTCCGAAAATTGAAAGCATTTTGAAAAATTTATTTCGACGTTTCGACTAAACTACAGGGTGTATCAAAATAAACGCAATTCATCTTTTGTGCTTAATAACTTTCGAAATACTATTTCTAGTTAAACGCTTTTAGGCTTACTTCAAAGCCTGTTCTTTTCTCTTTCAAACAAACTATTATCCTTGTCTCCAATGCTAGTAACAATTGCACAGGAAAAGATTTAGTAAAACCTATCATTTTTAGTTGCTGTTTAATTATGCAAGTTTACTATGTTATTGTTTAGTCGGTTTAAATGTTAGAATTTTCTTCTTTAAACTTTAATGATGTCGTCACTACATCTGGAAAACCACGTAAGAACAAATTAAAAGTATTTTAAAAGAGACCAGGTTGTTTGAAAATCCGAAACGAATGCTAAAAATCGTCAAAACATTCTGGTGTCTGAGCCAGAGTGTCATCGAATTGCGATGTAAACAGAAATTATAGCAAGTTGATGTCAGTCAGCTTAGATGGTCCAAGCCAAAATTATATCGCATTTGAAGTTTCAAACTGAGTTAAAAATAGTGGAAGAAAAGCCGTAATTATACTTATTGTTACATTCCATTTAATAAAATGCAACATTTTTTTGTTTTAATGAAAAAATCAGTTATTTTCATGAGAACGATTTGTACATGTTATTCCATCTCAATTTTTTAATCTCCAATCGCAATAACGTAAAGTATTATTAGCCGCGAACCAATGAGTCAAATTTAAGAAACAACCCACTGTTAGAAAGCTGAATGGCTACGCTTTAAAATGAATGTAAACTTTAACGTTTTCGTCTATTATTTGTTTAGCAATTTACATTTCAGTCGAGGATTGCGCTTTTTTTTATACACCCTGTATAGTCATCATCAGGAAATGAATGATGATGATATTACATATGTACAAGTATATATAGTGAAGTAACAAGATACGATTAGTTAAATATTAATAGATCTTTAGAGGCTTTAGTTCCATGGTTTAGGGACGGTTTCATTCTATTAATAGCAATAGACTCTTGATAAAGTATCAACGACCAGTGATTGGATTTATCTATTATCTTAGTGTTAGTAAATATTAAATCTGTTACTGAACATTTAATGTTACTAACTTCGTCATTAGGTGTTAGTTCGAGTAGGTTTATTACAAAATTGAATTCATTACAGCTAGTAATATGGTTATATATTTCAGAAGAGTCAAGAGAAGAATGCTTAATCCAATAATAATCCGTAATTTCTGGCATAAAATCTATCTAGCGTAAATTTTATCCCCGAGCCAACGCCGTTCCGGGGGTAAGCCCTGGGCGAGGGTACTAATTCCGCACGGCTATTTGCCCTTAGGGAAAGGAAAGCATTATCGAAGTCATTGAAATCAATATAACTGGAACGCTACCTTCAGATAAACTGCCTATCCTCCCCTTAAAGCCAAATCTTGAACCCCAGACACGCGTGTCTTGGGGTCAAACACGCGTGTTAATATCATGATTGACTGAATATTGAGCGCTTTTCGCATGCGTGAAAAGACTGGGTCTGGTCCATCAATAATCGTGGACGCATGGCTATGGTTCACCCAGTTTAGAGTTCCCTGGGTTCACCGTTCATGAGTGTTATCCTCACTGATCTCAAAAATATGGCGGACTATCATGAATAGCGAACACCGATTGGTCAAATTTAAAATTGTATTATTGTTATATAACGACTGCATGACGAGAGCAACAGCGAAATAACATGGTAATCGTTACTATTTTGCCAATTTTAAGCTCCTTTAACTCAAACCGGCTTGCAAATTCGCATATCTTATATATACTTTTTAAGTCAACATAGTACTTTATTAGGCGAAATTTTAAAAATCGCAAATGTTCGGCTATAAAGCCAAGATCAGAGGTGCCAACATATGTGGTCGTGTTTACCAATGTGTAAGCTATAGGAAAATGCCAGTGGGCAGCTTGTAACAAAAAGTGCCATCAGAGTGTACCTTTCAACATGTTGGCCGGTCGTCTATTTAAAGCAGGGTAAGTAAATAGCGCACATACCTTTGCACACTTGCCAGAAGTGATATTGTTTTTCGTGCAAAGATTCCGCTCATCACAAAACATCTTCAGTTCGCTTGTTCTCTCATCGGACATCATGGCACAGGCGGCAGTAGTTTCACATTGCGTTTTAACCTCAGTCAATTCTTCTTTGTCCAAGTTTTTTTTGTAATTGAAACAATGATGACTTGCTGTTGGCCTTGAGGTAATTTTTGCCTTCGGAGTAGTCTCTACTTTTGGAGTGCTTCTTTCTTTCAGCCAAGCCATTCGAATTTGTTGGTCGTAATTTTCTAGAAATATAACCGAAATAATAATAATAATAATAAATAAAAATTAAATAAAATAAAATATCATTGAATGTTTGAGGTTTAAACTATGTAAGGCCATGGTTCGCTGTGAACCATTGATATTCAGTCCTGGTGATACTGTTCAATCAATTAAAAAATGAACCAACGGATTAATTGATCGTTTTTTGTTTTGTCTACCGAATGTCGTATTCATATGATTGTTTGGAAATTCATCCCACTTGTCACTTGACCAACTCAGAGCGCGAGGTGAAATCATCTTATAACTTGCCTTATGAACACACAATACTTTTTATGTGCATTATCAAACGTATGCGGATTAGGGATTTGTCAGTTGGGTAGGGGAGGACATCAAGGGAAAGAACCTAACTAGGAGGCGGTGAATTGGAAACGTCAGAGCCGTAAGGGGTCTGGGGAATCACCCCGAAAATTTTGAAAAGCTTTATGTCTTGCTTTTTCAAACACAACCTCTTGATATACTCATGCACTAGACGCAGGTTTGGTCATGAGAATATAAAACACTCTTCAAAACTAAGTCATTCTCCCTTTTTTGCTTACATGTTAGACCTTTCGGGGGTTGGGGGTTGTATTTTACTGGAGGGACCAACAGGAGACTTGCCCCCACTGTTTATATGTTAAAAGAGGCCCCGAGCGGATATCTCTCAGGTTACTAATTCCAAGTTTGTGATCCGTGTTGATTTGAACAGGCGCACAGCCTTCCTTGTGAATGTTCCAGGACAACACCAGACAAAGATTAAGTTCAGTATAAACTTACTTTCAACAGGCTGTTCTACAGTCAGCAAAGCGCTCCTGTACGAAAACCCCATGTGAACACTTATAGCCAGGCATGTATACAGCCCTTCGTCTGCCATCGTCAAATTCTTTAATTTCAAATACACCCCTCTCTTGTTATAAGCCTGTCCGTAATGCTGTGGATGTAAGATAGTAAATAATGTGCCGTTACGAAGATCGGCTTCGGTAAAACTCTTCACAGACCTATTCCACTTCAACCACCTGTAGTCAACCAGCGTGTTGCTGGTGTCAGCACAATACAGTGAAGTTGAATCACCAACCACTGCCTTTTTATTTTTAGGATATCCACGGAGTAACACTGGATGGTCTGGATACAATGGTTCTCGAGCTGAAAAGGAAATATAACAATATTCACGATGTGGTGTAAGGTAAAAGAAGATACAGTCGTGAGTTTTTCGAAGACTTCAAAATTGCATTCATCTTTCGAACTCATGCAATTTAGGACGTCTTTGAAAAACTGACTGATGAGGATCCTGAAGGGATAAAATGGAAACTGAGATTTGCCTATTTTGGGGCTGGGAAAACGGGATTTGGGATGTTTTGGAATAGAAATGACAGACAGACACAGAAATGGGAATGGAAAAACACATAGTAACATATACTGTACCGTTATAAGGACATGCAGGTGTAGTTGGACATTTCACAGTTTACATAACGTCAAAGAAAGTCACGGAGCATGCAACTTTTGTTTTGGTAATTTGTCTAAAAATATTCTGGAAGACTGCATCTGCCTTTTTCCGACTCGAGGTAATTTTTATGCTATTGTAATTTTTATGCTGTGATGTACTTAGTATGTCCACTCTGTGGCAGAAAATGACGCTATTTTAGAGACTTTTAAAACTTTTACTTCGAGATGTTATTTCTCAAAAGAGAGCTATTGACACAAGAATATTCTGTTTTAAAACTGTGTTGGTGAAACACCTGCTCAGAGATATTCTTTGCAGTTCAAACTGGGATTTGGTCAAAACATTCGATGAGTGAAAAATTGAATTTAGAAATGAGCTGGGAAATGGGATCTATACCCCATTCTCTCCTTCAGGACCATCACTCATGCGTTCTATTTTTCGAATTTCACTCTAAATATACCTGTATTAAACTACAGCTAGTTTTAAATCGTGGTTGATATCGTCGCAAGTTGGAACTATATAAATTATAAAGCTTCCAGTATGGTACGTCACTAAATTCAAAAACTTACCTAACACTTTGAGCTTAAAGTTATGTTTGACGTGGCCATAGTCGTTCTTAATTCTACAGGAATAAACTCCATTATCAGCACGTTGGATATGTCTCACTACTAATTCAGATTCACGGATTTCGTGCTCTTCATCAGATTTCAATAATCTTCCATTATGAAACCATTGATATTTGAGGGGGGCTCCGCCTCGGACCAAACACGAGAAAGTGACATCCTCTTTCTCCAGACTTGCGATAAAATGCTGTCGTTTGTGTTTCGGAATGAGAAATTCTGGAGGATCTGAAAAAAGTCGAGCACAGGATTTTTAATGGTTTGCTTTACAAAGGTAGAAAAACTGTATAAATGAAAGATTCGGCAAAGAAATGCTTTTGACTCGAAAAGTAATTGATTACATATTCTAATATGTAAACTAAAGTTAGTAATCAATTTGAACAGGTTAGCATGGGGGATATTAGTGACTTTTCTTGGCAGAGAAGATTGAATTTACCTAAACAACTAGGGATCAAGGCAGCTTCCTCAGAGTCAGGGGCGTGGCGAACGACTCAGGATTGGGGGGGGGGGGGCGTCACACAATAATGACCAACTTTTTCAATGAAAATGACCAACTTTCTCTTTTCTACGTGGTGCAGTTCCTTTTTATTGGGGGTAATACGAGAGAGTTCATGCAAATCGATCTGCATAGTCGTGTAATCTGCACGATATTAATCATATGTATGCGGCCAACGGTGAATGTTTAACTAGTATTATTATTAATAGAAATACACTCGGTATATTTATTTGAACTATAATTCTCTAAGACTTCCTTATACAGTATAGGGAAATGATCGTGGCTGCTTCTTAAATCATGATGTGCAGTCCACAGCATTTGCAGTCTCACCGTTTCGGGTACTTCTGCGCAGGGGCGCACATCCTAAAATATTTTTAGGGCGGGGTGTAAAATATTTTGGGAGCGAGTCGACTTTTTACGTGTTTATATTTGGAAGCGACGCGTATACCTAGGGGGAATCGTATTGACCTTCGAATATTCGAAATTGCATTTCTTTAGTGTGCCGAGCCATTTGCGATCAATATTTCTGTCCACGATTACGTTTATATATCTCTGTGATGTAGGTGATTGAATAAAAGGTGCAAAGGTCGAAAACATTTTGCAAAATTGAAGTCTCTAGACCGTCGGAAATGCTATTTTCAGAGTCTTATTTACCTCTTTCGTTCGGTCCTTTTCAACTACTAAATTGGTAGACCAACTCGGTATATATGGAGTACAGAAACGATGCTGATTCAAATAGTGTTGGCAATAAGCATTTTATAACGTTTCAAAATTTATTAATTTATTTGGACATGGCCATGGAAACAAACAGTTTGGGTAATGTTTATATACTGGACGATCGGGACCGACAAAATTGTCCGTTTGGGACCGTCTTTTTGGATATTTCTCAAAATTATGGGGGTGTAACACCCCCACAGCCCTCGAATGTGCGCCCCTGTCTCTGCGATAAACGCTAGAATTGAAAGATCTGTGTTGATTGTAAAACTATCAGAGTTAATTATTGACAAAAAATGGTCCCAAAATAAACACTAATTGGTGATGCGCGAATGCACATTACAGTTAAAATTTAATCGCATTTTTCCTTAATATATTTTGACCAAAAACAAATTTGACCAAATTTCAATATTGATGAAAGTGTATTTCTTCAAATGTTAGCGCATTTGCTCTTAATATTTTCTTTGACCAACAATAAAACATTTTGACCAACCTTTTAATGTTTGGAATTATTGGGGGGCGTCGCAATCCCCCCCCCCCTCAAGCGCTCCCGGTCGCCACGCCCCTGCAGTGCCTCTCTCCTCTTCCATGCCTTTACAACAGCCCAACTTGCTTTGAATTTGTGTTGTAAAACGAATTACAGGTGGTATGTTAATTTAATTTGATTTGTTACCTTCGCCAGATAGTCTTAACGTACAGTTATTACAAAGTAATAATTATACATTTAACGAACTAAATAGACTATGGCAGGGTATTCGCAACAACGATTAGCCAATTAATGCGAACCCAAGGACAATTCGTTAACATCAAATAGCAAACAACTAACAATTAACTTCATGCATTTATATAACGAAGTATTTAGCTAGCTACAGCAACTGGTCATGCTATGATAGTAAACATGCACTAGCTGAAAAGAAATTGAACAAAACAATGGGTTTCCGACGGTAAAATGTTTTTCACGTCACAAATTTAATCCCAACGACTTCATTTTTACTGAAACTTTTGATGAGATGATTGAGATAGTTCCAAAACAATTCAAGATTGACGAAAGAACCTTTGACACCTCAATTTTTGTATGTTGACTTTTATAACTCTTACAGACGTCAAATCATATTCCATGATATTAAAGCTTTTTCAAGAAGTCATTTTGCAATGTGACGTCATTGTGATTATTATTTGCATATCAAAAATTGTTAAATATCTCAAGAACAAAGCAATCTAAGACGGTGTAGCAAAGTACCTTATTCTGTCATTTTGAATTTTCTTTTACAGTGCAAACATAAAAAATGGTGTGAAATCTCGTTCCATAAGCACTTTAGGACTACGACTAAAGTAAGCGATTCTATTGGAAAAGTCATACCTGAAGGAAGAATAGGTGTCACATTCAGGAATGTAGTACCAAACGTGAAACCATTGCTGTTAGAGAGGAAACATGTATAATATCCCATATCCTCCTCAGTGACGTGTGTTAACTCTAACATCACACCATTTAACTTCGTGTTACCATCATCAACTTCGAATGACTTGTAGTTTAGTGGGCTTAACCAGTTCACGTTCTCTTTGTCATACGGACTGATTTGGTTGGTTTTGACAAGAGTGTCTGTCTTCAACCATCTGTAGTGGCTAACTTGACCATTCGGCTTTTCAAGGCATCGTAGCTCTACGTTATCACCGACTCGAGCTGTGACTGGTTTTGGATAACCTGACACGAGTACTGGAGCTGACTGGATTCTTTCTAAATGAGGATGACATTTGCAACATTAATCCATTAATCCATTTTCAACTTTATTATAGTGGTGGTATGATTTGGAACAATCTCCCTTCAAGTTGTAATTCTTTGAATGCCTTTCGCTCAGACTGCAGAAGCTTTTTTGAAATAAAGGGACTTGCAAGGGGGATATTATGGCCCATTCATGCTTAATTGGTTTAACAAGAGACTTCTACACAGGTAGTCTGGTTAACCCATTTCACCCCAACTCCTTTGTTTCACAAATAAAACCGTGTGGCTTTTAAAGTGCATGAGTACAATAGGCCGCATTGCTGCCTAATAGTAATGGCTAGCAAAAGTCACGATTAACATAAACTCTTTCCCTTTGATGAGTAAAATCGATTGGGTTTAACAAATCGAATGGGATTTTTCGCATCGCTGCTTGGTAGGTTAGCAGGAGACACGGCTATTAATCTGGTTAACCCGTTAACCCTTAACCTTAAGCGTCTCCTAAGGAGAGCGGGTCTTTGTTCCCGCGTTTACTTGAAAATGTTTTCCCGGGTCAGTTACTTCTCAATTGGATTAGACGGGCGAATAAAATACGAAATACTGGGTAAACTCATAGGAATTCGTAAATTATCAATCGCTTTTTTATGCAAACCCAAAACGATTGGTGGGACGTAGTACTAATATGCTAAACCTACTAATATGCTAAAATAGTTGAGTTACTTACGTAAAATACGAAGACTGTAATTATGTTTGATCGAACCATAATCATTTTTTACGACGCATGTGTAGACACCGTTATCAGCCAATTGAGGCTTACGAAATTTCAAATTCCATTTCTGGTCTTGAAAGATGTTTTCCGAAGACTTGACGAGTTTTCCATTTTTATACCAGCTTACTTCTAGCGGTGGTTCGCCATCAGCTTTACATTTTAGACTGAGTGGTGTGTTGGCTGGCCAAGCGATGTAACTTTGCTTGATTTTAGAGATGTCAGTGAGGCTTGGAGAATGTTTTACTAAGGAAAAAACAGGATGTTTATCAGTGATGTTTACAGGAACAGCCGGTATAAATGAGGTTAAATGAAAAATGGATAATTGTATAATTTTGACCAAACGTTGGTAGAAGTAGAACGAGTCTGAACGACAGAGAGCGCGCGCATTCTTTTTACATGGGCTTTCCTTGGATTAATACATGTAAAATTCATTCATCCACCCTTGTTAGAAGCTCAGGGAGACTGAGCCCTCCTTGTTAAAAATTTCACGCCGGTTCGGGGGGAGGGGGGAGGGAGGGGGGGCAACTGACCTTCCGACATTTTTGCGGATTGCATGTTCATAACCTGGAAAGTTCTTTGCAACAGTAGTGTTGAAATTATATGCGGTAATGATGTTAGTAATCTGTACTTGATTACTATTATATCATACTATTAGGTCATGTACTGCATGAAATAACTTCATGAAATAGCTTCGGTATATCAGAATATTTTGTTTGAAGTTAAGTCCTTTCTTCAAACAACACTAATTGAAGAGTTACTAGAACCAAAATTAAATACTGGAACTTTCCATGTTTGTCATGTTGCACCCTCCACGTTTTGTCACCCACTCCTCCTCCTTTTAAGAGCTCCCCTTGTTATCCGATTTCAGTTCTACACCGCTGAGGCAGAGAAAAAAAGGGGGGGGGGGAATTCATGGCGGCAAAAGTACTTTTGTACATTTTGGAAAGCGAAGACAAGTTTTTGAGGCTAGACTTCGTTAAGTATTTGTGTTCGTTAAAAATGCATCTCCTGTAGATTGGTAGACAGAAGTTTTAGCGATTTCTAAAGCTTTTATCCTGGACAAAACATCTGCGACACTTCCAATTATATGATCAACTTTCATACTATTATCGCAAATTTAGAAAAACCTCCCTATAATTCTATGTCGATTGCATTCCCAAAATACGGCTAAAGCAATTGTAATATGTCCAAAATTGCTTGGAGGGGTGGAGGGGGAAGGGTGGGGGGTGGCCGAGGAAACGAGTTTTAAAATGTTCCGATGCGTGCTCAGAAGGGAGATAAAGGGGTAACACGAAATCGCACTGATTATAAACTGTAGATAAAGAAACGGCAACGAAGTAGCCAGCTCTCTATACTACTAATGTTTTAATAAGAGTGTCACTGATGGTTTTTGACCAGGATTGTAGCAATCCAGACACGGTGACTCGTGAGATGCCTGTGGATGAGGGTAAATTGAACCTATTTTACGCCTAGTGGGGTCGCCAACATGATACTTAATTAGCAACACAGCATCTTGAAAACAACGTAGCTACCACAGGTGATGTTTACCAATGCTGCAGGCTTATCAATCATGCGGCCTCGCATGCAATACGGTATACCAATGCACGCCAGAACGAATTCTGTTGCGTCAATGGCCGTGGCCGTAGCACTCTTTTTACAAAGAATATAATTTAAGTCCGCATTTAGCTAAGTAGTTGCTAATAATAGTTAATCCACGTTTTAAATTCCTCTTCAAAGTGAAACATTTAATACAATTTATAATCTGTAATCCTACTTTCAAAAGATTTGGCTGAACCACAACAGACTTTGGGATGTTGTTGCGATTACTGTTGGCAAAGTATAATTTATGTATCTATCTTGTCTAAATTGTCTTTGGCCGACATTGCGACAGGAGCTTCACTCCTGGATCGAATTGTAGTTTTCTGCTTACACAGTCCAATGAGGAAAGTGTTTGCAGTGAGACCAAATATCGCAGGTTTTCTTCGAGTACTCCTCCTCTTGGCATACAAGAGATGGCCGTTATACTGAATGGACCTCTAAGGAGAATGGTTTAGAACAAATGCATAAATACAGTACCTCACAAGTCGAAAAATGATACGTGTCTTATAGGGATAAGAGAACTAAGTCTGGTATTAAATGATAAACCTCTTAGTCTGACTTGTGAATTAGTTTTATACATTGCTTTTAAGTTATAAACAGACTTAATTTTAACCGGCTTGTGGATATCATTTTGTGAAATGGGAGTACTAAATAAATATCAACCTGAGCATGTCATTCTTATTTTTTCAATGGATCGATTGTTTTACTGTATTGTTCTATTGGCCTATTGCCATAAAAAGCCAAAAAGATGCACAGCTTTGTCATCAAAGAAGAAGATTATTGCATATACTTATAGTAATCCCTCTAATGCTAAAGAGTCAAGAGAGATGTTTTCTTGAAACCAAATCAAAACCATATTCTTTGCTTGCACGTGACGTCACTACGAGTCATTAGGCGCCATCCTGGTTGATTTTAAACTTTCGTTAAGCCGTTTACAGCGAAGTAGTTGAGTTAATTTAATATTTTCTGGTTTGTTTTGAAAACATTGATGTTACTGTATTATGGATAGTTCACGGTCTTTGGCTCAATACGACAAAGAATGAAGAGTATGAATTTTATAGTTGCCACGTGTATTTTGAAAATCAACCAACATGGCGTCGATTGCAAACGAGCAATAAGCAAGTTTGTTTGTTTGTGTGTGTGTGTGTGTGTGTGTGTGTGTGTGTGTGTGTGTGTG